TGTGCTTTGCTTTATGTAGTTTTGTTTTTCTTAATGTAGTTGTGCTTTGCTTTATGTAGTTTGTTTTTCTTTATGTAGTTGCGATTTCCTTAATGTAGTTGCGCTTTTAAATTTGTAGTTGCAGTTTGCACTTCAGGGCCACCGTAGGTATCAGTATCAGGGCCAAAAAATGGCATCGGCGCAACACTCTTCTAAACGTAAATCATTGTTGGTTTTTCAGCTTTAGCAAAAAAGGAACAATAATACATTGGAAACAAATATTTTTCCACTTCAGTTTTTACTCCCTTTATACTTATCCAGGCCTAGAAAATAAAAGAATAAAATATTGCCCTTTTTTCAATACTTCAGAAGAGCACCTCAGCACCCTGCTGGGGGAAAAAAACACAGTCCAACTTCTTCAGCTTATATAATAAGAATTTCATTTGCATTAAAAGAGAATAAATAGACTATTCTGGAACCTCTTGTTTTACAAGCAGATATCTTTCTTAAAAACAGCCCTGAAAATCCTCTTATCAGACTGTTGTAAAATTACAGAGCATCTTCATTCAGAGGCTTCTCCAGGCCAGATGTAATTTTTAGAACTAAGTGACTCAGTAACCAACAATAAGTAACTCTATGGCCGCTCTAACAAACATGGTCCGATATACTGACTAAATTAATATTAATAAAAGCAACAATAAGCTCCAGGGAGCAGAATTTGAAAATCTCTATTAGCATAGGTGGAGAATCCTGGATATTGCTTCAAAATGTGGAGGATACGGACCCTCCACATAATTTACTGGGTGGCTGTTGGGACCCATTTGAATATTTCACCTTTTGCCTCTGCAGTTTCTAAAAAAAAAAAAAAAAAAGATAAAATCAGTTGTGCAGGTAATTATTTTGCCACTGGATGTCACCCTGTCTTTTATATTGGACGTTAGGTTAATCCAAATGAAGAGTTCTGAAATTAAAACGGGATTCTGAAAGGATTTACATTTTCCAACTCTGGCATGGTCACATCTTCTCAGTTTAAACTACTTAAAAGATAAATGTTTGAATAAATCTATTAAACTATTGATGTTTTATTGATTTTTTTTTTTTACTGTGTAAATGGTTTTAGTAAGGTGGCCCTGAAGTGCAAACTGCAACTACAAATCTAAAAGCGCAACGACATTAAGAAAAACAAAACTACATAAAGCAAAGCGCAACTACATTAAGAAAAACAAAACTACATAAAGCAAAGCGCATCTACATTAAGGAAAACACAATTACATTAACCTACCGGAAAAGGTAGGTACCAGTGGGAAACATGAGACATCGCTGATTGGACGAAGGGGCCATTTGACCCTTGAACAGGAAGTCATTCTGCCTGCTGCGGCTTTTGAAAAACATGGATATTGTCGGCGCCCCAAACATAGCTGCCATTATACAGGAATATTTTGAATCAGGACATACGTCCGAGGTGATACTGGATATGCTCAAGACTAATCACGAAATTTCAGTTAGTTTGCGTACACTGAAGACACACTTAAAAGAAGCTGCACTGTTCAGACGACGCAACTTCCGGTTCAAGGGTCAAACGGCGCCGTCGTCCAATCAGCGATGTCTCATGTTTCCCACTGGTACCTACCTTTTCCGGTAGGTTAATGTAATTGTGTTTTCCTTAATGTAGTTGCGCTTTGCTTTATGTAGTTTTGTTTTCCTTAATGTAGTTGCGCTTTAAGATTTGTAGTTGCAGTTTGCACTTCAGGGCCACCGTATTTTAGGTAGACATGCAACCATAAGTAAATGTGTATTGATATCTGATATTAATATTGCTGTTATGGCCGATAATCAATATTTAAAGATCTCATATTATTTCTCCACCCTTTCGACGATATAAAAATATGAAAACACCACCAACATTGCTCCTATGGTTCTGTTGACATTACTATCACTGTCAAAGGCCTCAACAACCACCACATGGTTCTCCCCACAAAACCATATAAACAACATCATGATGGTAATAAACCCTGGTTATCAATATCAGCACAGATTTCCTTAAGGGATTATACAAATATGTCAAACATCGACAGTCACCAGCCGATGTATCATTCATAATTAGTTTTAAGTAAGTTTTATATATTCAGTAATATACTCTACTAATATGCGATCCCTTTAGTTTTGCTTATTTTCCAATTTCAGTTGAATAAAGTTTATAACACATTACCTTCAGGCAGCTTCTGTCTATGGGGTCCATAGGTGTTGGTCTGGGATGCGCAACTCTGGTATCGTCAGCCCCACTTTCGAGAGCCAACCACAGCTCTACAACCAGCGATGTGACGAAACCTAAAGGTGAAGTTCTGGTTTTAGAATATCTTCCTTCAGTTCCTCTCAGAAGCTTCCATCCAATCATGACAAATTCTACAGATTCAAAGTATCAATATGAAATCAAAAATATACATCCACTCAGCTAACATTTGATAAATGTTCAATACCAGGTTGTCAATCAACTGAATCATCTTCTTAGCCTAAATCTGACTTTGGGAATAAAATCTGAACATGATATTTGACCGCTCTCCTTAGCAGAGCTGGAGAGCTCATTGAAAGTGTGTTCCAAAGCTAAAATAAGGGCTAAATAAGAAGCTTAATAAGTGCAATAATTTCTTTTCTAAATCCATTTTGATGTGCAAGATCATTCTGTCCTAATACCCTGTAGCTCTTAAAGGATTAGTGGCATTGAAGCCCTTATTTAATAGGTGTAGAGGAGTATAGAGTAGGGGGAGGTTCAAGTTTTGAACACAGAAAAGCTGCCTCAAGTGCTAAATTGGCAGCATATGGTGCACCTGTTCAACTACCAGAACCTCAAGGTGTCCTCATCTCCCAATTCTGTCCAAATATCCAATATAAGCTGTGGTAAACCATTTTTTACTCACTTTGTGCTATTCGTGAGTCCCAGTGGAAGTGAATCAAGCCTCCAGAGTTATACTCCCACTCTCAGGCCTGAAGCTTCACTTAGACTTTGCTAAACGTGTTTCGTTTTTATTGTGGTCAAACATTTCAATCTCCGTTTCATCCGACTATAAATATGTTTTCAAGAAGGACTTTGGCTTGTCCCTGTGAGCAGCTGCAATTTGAGTGCGATAGATACAATCTTTGGAGCAGGGGTTACTTTTAAGTTTTTAATCCTAAGCAGTTGCCAATCATTGGCTTCCCCATTATTGTAAGCAATGCTCTATCCAGAAAATGCTTCTGTTGTGTTAAGCCAGGAAAAATAAACACTAAAAAACAATAAACTGCTTTTCTCCTGTCAAGTTGAAACATCCTTGAACTTTTAAAACACTTATCAAAAGATTTAGATGAATCTACAGAGGTTTGAGCCTGAGTAGATTAGAGGTAATCTTAGAAACAGTCAATTCTTGCTTTGAAAATAATGTCAAATAAAAACGGGTTTAAATACCTTCTCAAAATAAAACAATCTACTAATGTTCTCCTCCCTTTATACCTTCTAATGATGCTCTTTTAATTAGCTGTAGTGGTACCTGATTTGTTGAACACATCATTCCCTGTCATACAGCTGCTAAATGCATCTAAATTGGACAGTGAACAACCCCTGAGACAACGATTTAAAGCAATTCTTCACACTGCCTGCACAGCAATTTACAATTCAGGCCTTAAGCATCCCAGCAGGCGAGTGTTTGTTTATACAAATGAGCACTTTGTTACCTGAACTGTGCAGAGCTGCAACCCCTGGGGCAGTCGCAGCTACCTGTGTCACCATTACTCCATACCCAAACTTCTCACAGCGACTCACCTACGATGAAAACGTGCAAACAGACTCATAACTAACAAGACAATTAATAAATGAAGGTGCATATTAAGCAAGCTTTTAAAATATTAAGGGAAAAAAGGAACATTTGTGCTCAAGTAATATAAAAAAAAAGGATTTTATCAATCATGATATGTCTTTAAAAAAAGCTAAAATAAAATCAGGCTCTTTAATTAAAGTACAATGCTTGATAGAAACAGGCTATAATTATAAAATGTGGGGAGCTCAAGGTCCAAAGGGAGTCACGCCAGACTTGCATGTTGAGCTGGGAATATGTGTCTACAATGTAAAATCTGATTCCACATCCAAGCAGAAGCTGAATCCTAAACAGATAAACAAACGTTAAAAATAACACAGCATCCTTTAGGACCAAAATCACAAATGTATGGTTCAGGTAAACTAAAGACATTCGTTAAATTAATTAAAGAACATGTTTAAAGACTTTGTCATTTGCTGCATTATTAAAAGAAGCAAGAAAACAAAATTGTGTTTCTAGCGTTTAATTTATGTAGGAGAAAATCTAAAGACATTTGTTTTTGACCGGTCTAAGAATAACATGATATTTTAACTTGTTCACATTATGATCAATGCAAAGTTTGAATTAGGTGTGTGTTAGAAGGTGAGTTACAGAATTATCAACAGTTTTTCCTTAAACACGTCTGAAAAGTGTGGCGTGCATTTTATTGTTTTTAGCTCCCCGTTTGAAAGATTTTCAAAACCACAGATGTTTATTGGGTAGAAAATTCTACAAGCTTTCCGAATCTCAAAACCAAAGACTTTTCCGATTATTTACACATTAGCACAGGCTCATTTAGTTCATTTAGATTGTGTAAAGATCATCTGTGAACATATTTCTTTTAAACTGATGCTGTAGATTCTGGTCCGAAGTTAAAGAGGGCATTTCTAACACAGATTTTATTTTGGGGCTGTAGCTGCATGTTTACTATCACCATCAGGGTAAAAAAAAATCTGTCCCAGTCTCACTCCTTTCTTAGCCTCTAAGTGGTTTTCTTCTAGGATTTCCCTGTTTAACTGAAGCCATATTTCCATCAATTCGGACCAGCTTCCATAACCCCACAGCACAACGCTGCCACCTCCTTGTTTTCCCCTCCAGAAAATGGTGTTAGTCATTTACCCTACAAAAGTATCTTGAACGCAGAACATTTTGACCTCAACTGACCAACATATTTTTTATATGTGACCACTATGTCTCTGGTTTGTTGAACTAATCAACAGTCCTTTTAGGGGAAAAAACAAACAGCATAGCAGCCCCTTTGATTGGTTTTTACCTAGCTGTATTTATGCAGAAACTAAACAACACAGACTGTGTTTGCATATTCAGAGGCATCTAAATGACTCAGTGAAATTATTGTAAGGAATAAAAAGAATAGCAATATATAAAAGCAACAATAAAAACGTTCATTATTACACGGCACAAACATCTGCAACTTTGTGTCAGTCTATCCGATAAAATCCCATTGTAATATACTAAAAGCTAAAGCAGGATAAAAGATGAAAGTTCAACATGTGTGACTATTGCACCCTTAATCCTAGTTTAGAACTGTTACTCTTACTACTGTGAAACAATCATTTGAACATAAACATAATAAACACCTGCATTATGTAAGAGACTCAACAAGCCTGCAAAAGTTAATTATTTCAGGAATTGTGTAAAAAGTGCAACAGTATCGTTGTAAGATATAATCCAAGTATATTGATACCAATTCTTATCACCAAAACAGGGAGGTTGATTCCTATGAAGGCGAAAGACAATAAAATTGGCTTACATATTAAGGCAGATACTGGATAAAGCTTTTATTCCAGCTCACTCATGCCAATGATTTTAATGGTGCGTTCCATTGATACACGGTAGTTGAAACTTCCTGGTTTAATTTTTAAAAATCAATCACCCAGAGAGGTTGGGATACAAAGTACCAGATTTACATGGATTTTAAACCAGCAGCATAGACCAAAAATAAATGCAGTAACAAAATGTTCATTTGTACTTTTTGTCCCATTTAAACATGGGTTCAAATAGTACTGTACTGTATTTTCTAACACAGTGTTTACGCTACCTGTAATTGAACATGGCACGCCGCCACAGCAAAATAAAAGCTGCCACACCTTCAGACCAAATAAAAAAATTAGAACATAAATATAATAAAACAGAGTTGAGGATATAACATACTGGAAATTTCTTCACTTACTGGAGCTGAAACAATTGAATTAATCTTGATTAATCGATTATCAAAATAAATGTAACTAATTTAATATTCGATTAAACGTTAACTTGAGTATAGAGACTGTGAAACATACCTTTAGTGAACAGAGTTACCCAATAAGAGCAGTAACTATATTTAAGTTGTAAATTAATACAAATATTTTGCATTTAAAATATATAAAAAAAACATTTTGTATGTCAATATGTTATATCCAGAACTCAAGTGGAAAAAGCTGGAGTTTGACCTGGTTTAAATTCGGTTAAAACTCTTCTTTAAGAAACCGATCAGCTTATTGATCGATTCATCTAAAAAAAAGTCAACAAATTAATGGATTAGCAAAATAATTGTTAGGTGTAGCCCTAGCCTTATCTAATCATAATCTAATCAAATGTGCTTTATTTTGACAAACCAAGACTGTTCTGTTGTGTTGTAAATCTAGCGATTGTAAGAAGCTAACTGGTGACAACAGAGTGCTGGGATGGTCTCAATAGCAAAGAAAAACTTGATGACTTTTTTTCCAAAAAAGCAACTAGAGACAAAAAAAAAAAAAGACTTTTCTCTGTGTTTTTGGCGAGTTAAGCAACTTCACATGAAAGCAGAAACGGTTATATTGTTACTTTTTCACAATAGCAGTTCTCTCCTGACTTCATCAAATGTTGTCTGACAAATAATTCACCAAGCACATTTCCTACATTTCCTACGCAATATAGAGACAAAGCTAATAAAAAACAAACAAACATGTTTTTGTTTCCCATAGGAAAGTTTAAAGCTTTCCTTAGTTGATGGCATCAACTTGCAGTCCATGACTTTCAGACTAATAATACAATTATTTTTTTTACCTGATTCTGATTTCCTTGTTATCTCTACCTAGAAGTAAAAAAATCAGGTTGCAGAATCCACAAAAAATATGAATTGATTTTAAGAACCTTTTTATATCTAAAAACAAGTGCTTTTTTAACCTGTGCCATGATCTCATGATGAAAAAACAAGAAGACTGATCAAATTCGTTAATTTAGTTTGTTCTGCAGAAACAAAGGTCAAATAGACCAGACAGGTTTATTTAGAACATTGCAGTTTAATCAGCAGTCAAAGTTTCTTCATTCTCGATAACTAGTCCTGTATTACCTGTAGTTTTTTGCTAAAGCGGGAGAACATGTAGGACACGCATTCCTGGATGGCTCCTGTCTGCTGTAGCAGCAAAAGGCCTTTAGGGGTTGCAGCAAAGTTCAGAAGACTGCCCAACAAAGTCTCTTCCCAGACGAGCCTGTTCCAGATCAACAAAAGAAACCAAAGAAAGTGACAACAGTTCTCACTTTTAAACAACAAATACAAGGATTTACTCTCACATTAAAAGAAACTTTTGAAAAAAGGAACGTTACAAATTTAAGCTGTTTAATCCCTTGACATCTGAACTTATATATAAATATATAACAAAAGTGTGTAAGCTATTTGGCCTTAAATGGTTTCCAAACTGAGATTGAATACTTTACAAAAAATAAATTAAAATTTAGCTTTGTTGCACATTTGTAACAACAGTTATAAGGGTCAAAAATAACAGACTGCTAAGAGACCAGTCCTAACAGAAATAAGTACTTTACAAAGGTTCCTAGGTGTGCGCTGAATGCATAATTGGAATTTGGGGAATGTTCAAGCTCTCTGGTTAGCATTATACAGTTTGTTTCATATTTACAACAATAGGCATCAAGAGATTAAGCCGTTTCATTATTCAGTACTGCAGGCTCATTAGAAAAAGAAGAGCAAATATGGAGCATGTCAGAAAAGGAGAATTGTTCAATATCAGAAAGTAGACTAATTGAACAAATACTTAAAAATACCATTTTATAATAGAATTAATCTTATAAAGTGTTCATGAATAATACTGGCTTCATCAATTAAGATTTTAGTGGTTCAAAGACTATTCATAAAAATTATTATGGTGCTTCTATTACAATTATGTAGATTCTCTTTTCTGCAATGCAAGGGTCAAAAATGCAATAGCTCCCTATTAGTGACTTATAGTGAGTTTACAGCCTAATAATTGATTTATTCAATATTTTTTAGGTTATTTTCATAATAAATGGACACAGTATCAACAAAACATAATATCCTTTATATAAATATTGCTGAACGGATCTCGGTGAAACTATGTAAAATAACACGAAATAAATAAAAATCTAATAAGTTCAACGTCCTACACTGAGCTATGAGCGTAGTATCAGTGGTGAATTGATAAGTTGGTTTTTATTATCTCTAGTCAATAATTAATATTACTACTTTGAACCACAACTCATGCAAGCATAAAAACTGTTTGGTTATGTGTTGTGATTCAAACGTCTGTTATTGGCAGGAGTTATTCCTGGGCTGACTCCAATATCTGCTTTTATTGGTTAACTAATAATAAGAGAATCTCCATATTGACATGCATATAAGTTCATATTTAATAGGCGGAAAAGTTAATTGTTAAAGGCTGTAAAATTTATTTATAAGTACAATTATCTGCAGTAACAGGTCAAGCAAACATTGAACAGTCAGTACACTGTGTGATCTCACATGTTTGCCATTTCTTGGGTGGATGATCCAGTACAAACTCCAGAAACGGGGGTTGAAATCCTTTCTGATAAAGAACTTGTCTGTGAATCAAAAATACATAAAACATTAAAAAAGAAATCTCATGTATTAAAATCAAACATGGTGAGATTTCCTTCCTTCCTATGTTTTTTTTATTCTAAAATTAACTGCCAGACATTATTCAATTAAATTAAGTTTATTCATGTAGCACCAATTCACAACATAGGTCATCTCAAGGCACTTGACAGAGACAAATCTACCAGGTCATACAGTCAGATGGATTCAAGTTTTCTATCTAAGGAAAACCAGCAGACTGCTTCGACTCATTTACTCAACAGCAATCCCTCACACCAAGCATGCTTG